TATCGTTGCCTTCAACAAGAGCATCAGAAACAGAAACACAGCTTCATTCGTGTTTTGGTAGCTGATGTTAGCGTTGTTGTCATTTTTTTGTGTGTTTTGTTGATGTCCAGTGACACTACAGTCACAAATCCCTCACATTAATCTGTATTTTTCAATGTGAATGGATTACATTAAATCTGACATATTCAATTAAGATCACAAAACCTGTCAAGAACATGCCCAGGCTGTATTTCACCTCAAAAACAATAAAAAAAGAAATAAATTAAATTTAGCTGAAAAAAAGAAGTCTATTAAAATACTCTTTATTTTCTTCATGCACAGTTACTACTACTACTACTACTAAAATAATTGCTCACTTTACTATTTTATTATTTTTTTAATTGTAACAACCAAGCACATTTTAATTCTCATTACTGAAATGCACAAAAAACAAGATATTAACAGATTTACATATTACCCGAATTGTAAAGCATTTATAGATCATGGTAGCATTTTTGTTCTGCCTTTAATTTATGGTTATTTAAATACAAAAATCATTGTAGTACAGTAATGACAATCAAATGACAGTCTTGATTGAAAATAGTGAGAGTTTTTAAAAATAGAAAAAGAAAGCATTAATTCTTGAAAAGGAAAACATTTAATGGTCATGAAAATAATAAAAAATTTGTGCAAATTTGCAAATATTTCTCAAATGTTGTGACACTTGCTTTTAACAATGACAATAAAGTTAATGCATAGATTTAAGACTGGAGCTCTTCTTATTTTGAATATAATAATACAAAATATGGCATCATATCAAATGATATAATGAAATCGATTTGATAATGTTATGAAGAACATATCAGGGTAGCGGGTTTAACCTGTTCATTTAAAACATCGCATGCACAAACTCACTGCATCTGAATGAAGTTCACACACACACACACACACACACTCTCTCTCTCTCATGGTGGCAGAAACCACAAGAGCACAATTAAAAAACACTAAAGTGTGTTTACTGCCATAAACCTGTGCTGTTCTGGCTTATTAAAACACACAGACAGACGATTCATCTTTATAAAACAACAACATCACCACAAACACTAGAACATCCGTCCATAACACTCCACATTCCCTCTCAGCACACGCGAAACACTCTGTCCGGTGCAAATCAGCAGACAGGTGATCGCATGAATAATCACACCCAAAACTGCACAGGGCATCTTCAAATCAGACTCAATATTTAAAGAAAGCTACAGTAAATTAAGAAACAAAAGGAGCATCAGTCAGACGGGCCCTAAACTCACGCCGCAGTGCCGTTTACAGCCTGAAGGGGGAGGAAAAGCTCAGGAAATGGATCCGTGCCGGAGAGATCACGTCCCAACTGAGCATTCTGCTAGACCAAACTTAATTTAATTAACGCTGTATACTTTAAACAATCCGATGTGAGCGCAGACGAGCAGAAACGGCAGAACATTCTGATACAGAAACATCTGAGCAGATGAAATGCAATGACAAACACAATCAGACTGAGTTAAAATAATGGGAGACCATGCCAAACATAATTTTTCTCATGTTGGGAATGCATGAAGAAAGAAAATTTTGTACAGTTACATGCATTTTAAAAAACAACATCATAAAATAAAATAAAAATCAATGATTTATGTAGCAATAACACCGTCCTTTCACAGTTCTTTCACATATGATTTTAGTGAAATCAGAAACAGCTGTGATGTTAATACACAGAAATCATCATTTCTAAAATGTCATGTTGTTCTGATGAACAGAGCTGCATTTTCTCCTCCAGCACGTTTATTTTTACTCTAAAGCTTCTGGTCTCTTACTGAACAAACTGAGCCACAAAAACACACCGAACGAATCGGACAAACTGAGAAGCACACGGGGAACCACAAACCCAATAAAAGCAACTCAACAGCCGTCTGCTCAACATGAACAAAGATCCTGTGCATTACATTTACTCAGCACACATGAATGAAAATCCTTCAGAAATATTTCTATTATCATACATGAGTATAACCAAAAACACCACAGAGCTGCTTTAGCACATTTATTATCTGAAAACTGAAGCAATACATATTATTATATAAAGATATAATACAACACAGATATAATTAGCTAAATTTAGAGTATAAATATGAAATGTTTGTATTTTTGCCAAACCACTTCTCTATATAAAAAAAAAGAGAAAAAAAAAAAAGAAAATTTTGTGCATTTTTAAATAAAGGGAACAGATTTCTAAATGGATTTCATAAAATATTAATTGCTCTAAAATAATAATGTGTGCAGTTAAATTAGTAAACAGTAATTCCACTGACTGCTGAGAAAATGTTAAAATGTCTCAAATGTTTGTCGACATGAAATCAGTATAAACTCAATAAATAAATACAATACCACCATCAGATATAATTTATTATGAGTTAACAGTACTATCATTATAAAACAATTATTTATTATTTAAATTAGTAATAATAATTAATTGTAAATAATGATTAATTGTATAATAATATTATTTTTATTTACAATTAATCATTATTATTTATTGTAAATAATAAATAATTATCATACAATGAAAATAAGTATAATTATTATTAAAATATTACAGATATTAAATATGTAATAGTTTGTCAAATTAAAATTTATTTTTTTATAATATTTATTAATTATAATAATAATAATTATATTATTACTGATAAATATAATAAATGAACTGGTCTCTAAAACTGATGTCAACACAAATTCTCTCAGACACTAAAACCTGATTTCCAACAACCTACACACACATACACACACACACTCACTCACTCACT